AGTGTCTTCCTCCCAGAAGTTTCCATTCTCATTGGTTTGTGGACACATCTGATCTAGAAAGCTGATGTGGAGTGTATGTTGACAAATCTCAACATGAGGCATACTCAGACCATCTTCAGACAGAGAGAGATAACAGATCTCATGATGTACTTTAGGAACTTTGATTCTAGACAAGAGTGAGAACAAACAAGAACTAAACCAAGTAGTACAATAGATGGGAGTGGAAGCACAGAGAATTGTTAAAGAAAGATTGGGTAGATGTGCAAAGCACAAATTTCCACTCTCCACTTTAATGAGAAATTCTTCAGAGACTACAGATGAAGTGTGGCCTTGACCTTCTCCCAAACCTCTGATCAATTAATTTCCAACAATTTCGGAACAAAACCGAATGATGAGGCCTGTCCATCCAGAGGAAAGGTCCAGGGGGAGAAACTTACTTCCTCATACAAAGTACCTGGCCAAGGTGGTGGCATGAGATAATGTAATTCTTTATAAGACTGGATTAGCCTTTAATTTGCAAACTTTAATGGCTCCAATGCGAAAACATAGCGCAAAGATGAGAGTGGACAACCTTGATGAATGGAGCAAGACAATATGAAAGGTTTAGACCTTAATCCATTCACCTCCACTAGTGCATTAGATCCAGGTTTGAAAAGATAATCCAAAACCAGCTATCATGAGAACAACCTCTGGAAATTGATTGTCAACCCTATCAAATACTTTAATCAAATTGATCAGCATGGATTCACTGTTGACTAAGTGATTAAATGTACGAAAATAAAAAGGGTTGTCAATAGTCATGAATTAAGGCAAGAGTAACTAGAATAGGGCTGTATATATAAAATTGGTTGTAAATGATTGAAAATCAGGAAGAAAACGTTTGTCAGTGATCATGAATTAAGTCAAGCATTACTAAGACAATAAGGCTATTATATGTATAATGTGGTTTTGATATACAATAAAAGTGAAGAAATTGTGAGAAGTAAATCATGAAATAATTTAGCAAAACAATTTGAGAGCAGAACAGTCCAATAAGTCTTTTACTAAATATTATTTTAAATAAAAAGAATGAAAAACAGCAACAAAAGTAATAAAAGTTAATATATTTAAGGAACACAGAATGTAAAACAGGTAATGATGTAATAAATACTTAATAAAAAGATGAATACTGAATCATACATAAGAAAATACAATTTCTGTAGTCTCTCCTCTTGATTTTTTAATATTCAGCCTTGACTCTATTTTGATTTTTAGTTTATTTCTAAATGGATCTATATTTCTGAGATAAAGGTATTGTAACTATTTACATTATTTACATCATTCAGGTTGTTTTCCTTATCTTTATTGTCATTGTATGCTCAGCCTTCTTCAGGTGATATATGTTGGAATTTCAAACTGAACCTTTTATTTAGCTCACATTGTACCCCATGGATTAAATAAAGTATTCAGTTTTAAATTCCAATTTATATCACCTGACGAAGACAAGACTATATAATGGCCAAAATGTTGTGAATATGGCAATAAAGATGAGAACAGTTCAAATGATGTAAATAGTGTAAATAGTTCTAAATGCATTTAAATGCAAAAGTACATTTTTGTACTAGTTTAATCAAATTCTTTCTAAAACACAAAAAATGCACAGAAAACTTTTTTTGACTTTTAAATGTTAAACTTTTTTCATAAACTTCAATCACCAGTAATCTTATTCATGGTTGGTTTGATATTATTTTTTTTCCCACTATGAAATTGCATATATATAAAAGTATATTAACCTCAAACAACCATAGTTACACACTATTGTTATATTAAGTGTATGGTGGCAGAACAAAGAAACAATGAAGGTTTAAAGAAATAAACAATTGTATTAATGTAAAGTACAACAAATAATAATTCGGTGTAAATATCTCTTGTTGAAAAAAAGAAGATTAGTGGAGTTGTAAATGGCATCAGTAGAGGCATGCAGTAGGAGAGGGGGGATGAGGTGTGACTTATTAAGATGATGGCCTTTGGCAAATTGTCTCTTGGAGAGGGGAGGTTGCTTTCTAAAGAAGTCTGTGAACCCAGACCAAGATGCTATCCAACTACCAAAAATGTCCCTTTGATGGGTTTTTATGTCCTTTCAAAGGCTCAGATCAGCCCCAGTTTTTTATTTTGTTTCTTTAGGTGGAGTGGGTGCTATTGGCTGGAAATTCTGGATTGTATTTCTTATTTTTTTTCTTTGAGTGTGTGAGTAAAAATGGAAGGTATGTGTGGAGCCTATGCACAGTTGAATGGAATTTTAATTCACTCTTGGGTTTCGGAGCATTCACATCTGGCCAGTGGTGGAAATTAGTGTAGTATGAATCAGAAGAAGATCTGGTTTTAGGAAGAATATAACATTATCAAGATGTAATGAATATTCACTTGTCTTTATCTATCTTGCTTTCTGACTATTAACATTTCTTAATTTTTCCTAAGTATTTACTGTATTCTGCTCAACTTTTATGTTAGTAGCAATAGTAATTTTTCTATGATAAATAAAACAAAATAGTAGTTAATAAAGATGTTATAGGAAAGAAACAATATTTCCAACACAATTACATAAGTAAAAAAAATACAAATATTTATAACAGAATTTTTTATCTTAACTGAAAGAGTTGAAATCACTTCTGTATGAATAAATACTTTTTTGTCCTTAAGCATCATCAGTAGCAGCAAATAAGGCAGTGTTGGAAATAAAACAAATGCAGTAAACTGATAGTGTTATTATTACATACTGTCAAAAATGAATTCAACTGAAAAGACCAGCATGGAGATAGTGAATGACAGGGTTGCAAAAGAATAACAGACAGGGACAATAATAACAACTTGTTCCACTGTTGGCCCCAAAAAAGCCTGCCAAGTATGAGGTGCAGGGATTTTTATAACATACCCCTGCCCTCACCTCTTCCGCCAATCCAAATGGAAGGCTACTAAAGTGAAGGAGAATGAGGCATTTGCGCTTTAGGACTCCCTGGTTGACATTGCTGCTCCACTGCTAAGTCTATTCTTCATTATTTCCAACAATACTTTCAAACTTTTCAACTTACAAACCCAAAACATATTTGTATGTAATGAAGCTCTTGTATTGTCTCTCTCTCTCTCTCTCTCTCACACACACACACACACACACTTGAATGTCTATGTGAATAATGTCCCTTCCTCTGAAGAGGCTTAAATTTCCAAGAAATAAAGAAAGATATTTAACATCACCTATCAGAGATCTTGTAATGTGTACTTGGGTTTTCTTGGTGAAATTCATAATTATATTGAAGTGCATCAAAATTATTTGATATTTTGTTCAAAAGTAGGGGAGAATCTGTTCTCTTGTGTGCATGCACACACACACACACAAACACTGTCTAATGAATATGTATTTGTGTGTGTGTATATATATTATATTAATTGTCTGTTGATTTTCTTTGATATATGATGGGAGATCAGCTATGCGCAAAGTCACAACACAAGCAAACTAATTGGCATGACCAGTTTGGTGATCATCAGTTAATATCAGAAATTCTTGTGACTCTTAATCATGGTAATGTATATAAATATATACTTTTACCTTCTATATTTATATATTTATTCTTCTTGTTACCGTGCAATGAACCATGAAATTGGATAGCAGTCCCTCCCTCTCAAAAAAAAAATAAATAAATAAAAAACATGCATAGCTTCAAATGAAGTATTATGTCCAGTATACATTAAAAATTGTCAGTGTGCAGTAGCATTTATTTCATGCAAGATTCAAGGATAAAAGCCTGTCTCTTAAGTGCTTTGTTCTAGAACGAACAGAACTAAAATGTTGTCCTGCAGGTAACAGTATATATTCATCTTCTACTATTACCAGAAAAATGGAAACTAAAATTGCAATGTCATGGTTAATTTTAACCAAGACAGGTAATTTAAGTTTCATATATCTCTCTGCATTATGTGCAAATACTACAAATTTTCAGTAGAATCAAAGAACTCAATATATTGAAAATGCACATAGAATTTTTAAAAAATTGTTTGAATATTAGTACATACATGTATGTATAAGTGTACTCTTACCAGTGTGTAAGTATAGGTGTATAGGCATACAAAATGCCAAAGAAAAAAAAAAAGAATTAAATGTAAAAGATGTATGACATGGTAAGAGTAAGCTACTGAAAATCCTGTTGTGGTATAGCCAACTTGAGGACAGATGTAGAGAATGTCAAGTTTAAGCTTGTGTGAATCATTTGAGTATAAGATATTTTTTTGTTTTTAACTTACATACAGGTTTAATAGATAGTCTCCCAAAATGGAAAAAATATCATGTAAAAACAAGTATATTTTTTTATGGAATTTTTTTTTTACTTTTAATAATTATGAGGGAAAAAGTTATACATTTTTCACATCTATTTCACATAGAAGAAATTAATGGAAAAGTTTAAACTCTAACATATTTCATGTGATCCTTTAAAATGTCTTTTGAGTAAAAGTAGAACTTTAAATTGGTTCAATAACTTTGTAATCAGCAATTTGTATCGGATGAAATTATTAAAGAAGAAATTGATAATTATCTTGTTTGAATCTTTATTTACTGTCTTTCTCTTTCTCTCTCTTCTACAAAACAAAGAAATTAACTAAAAAAAAGCCTCTATAAAGAGAAACATTAAAAGTCTCTAGTTCAAGGAGAATAATAAAAACACTATATCCGTTAAAATCTAACAGGATAAATAGATTAATTCATTACATTTTTAAAGAAAAAAATGTTAAAACTTAAAAGAATAATTCATTGTTTTCATTTTTTATGGAAGAAATTCGTTCGGAGAGTAACTTTCTGACCAACACCGAAGTTGTGGCAATGCGCATGCGTGAAAAGCTTAGTTGTTGCGCCATTATGGTAAGCACAACACAGACAGACGTTCTTACAAGTGTTTATTTATTTCTACATCAAACACGGTGATACATTTTGTTAACCTCCATTTCTTATCAAGGAGTCTTTCTGGTTGGTGATGGCTTGTCTGGCCACTTTGAAACGAGACATTAAACTACTTGAAGCTGCATTTCCAAAAGCTCACGAACGATTTCAAATTCTATCAGCTTCCGTAGACGAGCTCGCCTGCCGTTTCGTCGGACGGGAAGGCGAATATTATGATATTCATGCCAACATAACGGTAAGCAATTATTTGGCGACTCGAGATTGAATATTCATCGAAAATGATTGCTAAATATGTGTACTTTTTCTCAGAAAAAAGTGACCTTTTTTCAATTTCGTCTTTTCTCTGATTCTTTCAAAATCTATCCACCGCCTTTTTGCTTTTCGCTTCTATTTGATCATAAATTGGGGGTCCAGTTTTTCGTATATTAATAATATTAAGCAGATCCCCCATTTTGTGACCTACGTACTACAATGCGCGTGAATATTATTATTTTTTTAAACAGGGGGATCAGTTTGTGATGCACCATCGATTAAGAATTGATTCTGTGTTTTATGATCGCACTGTAGCCTGAGATTTAATGTTTGAGATTTATTTGTATTTAATTTTTCTATTAAACCCAGCGACCTTTTCCTTTTTCTTTCTTTCTTTCTTTACCTTAGACCTGCTACTATTATTTGATTTATTTCATTCTCTTCTTTTTGCCTTCTCTATTTAAAGTTTTTAACTTTAAGGGGACACATACTTTTTTTTTTAATGTTTCGTTATTTTCTGAATAGCCTGAATTTACTAATAGTAAAAAGGTTGATAAATAAATCAATCAATAAATTACTTTTTTCTGGGACAAACAAAGAAAAGGAACCAACAACCACCCTTCTCTTCATGATAAAACACCGAAGCGTTCTCCTGTCTTCTTTCCATTATTATTTTTAAATTTTTTCTGTCTGTATCAGATCAATATAAAGTTAAAAACAAAAAGAATATGCTTATTTTCTTTTAACGCCAAAAAGAAACGTAATTGATTGTATAATATTTCAACACTAAAACTAGGTTTTCGGCTTATTAATGAATAAAACCCCCAATTTATTATCACCTTATGTAGCATAACGTGCTTGTATTGCATTCAAACACTTATCATGTATTAATAAATAAATGTCTCATGTTTGCCTTCTCTCATCATCGGTCATTACACACACATACGCGCGCGCACACACACACACACACTATATATATATATATATATATATATATATATATATTATAATCCCATTTACTGGCTTTAAAGTTTATTTATTTTAAAACCTGCCAATGCGCGATATTTTTTATTGCGCTAGTTCGGTGAAGGCGTAGCTCTATCACGGAAATTAATTTCGACTTATTATCGATAGTTAAAAATTCGAGGTAAAAATGTGTCTTCTGTTGACTTGTCAACAACAAGAGAGCTTGTAGTTACAAAATGGCTGCGCTCTGCTGGGGAACAGGTTTACGGCAATCGCCCAGGAATTCGCCCCAGTAAACAAAAGAATTACAAAGTTTTAGGGGCTGAGTTTAAATTTGAATTATAAAATTTTAAAAAATCTTTAAATTTCCCCTTTTATTCTGTATACTTTTTGTATTTCGCATCTGTTAAATCTACAAAGTAAATGTTTCTCTGATAATATCCAGAGTTGCCATTTGTATGAAAGAAAAGAAAACATTATAAAGAGGAAAGACAGGTCATTTTATGAATTTTATTTTACAAATATTGATTATTTTAAGTTTGTTATTGAGAAAAAAATTGAAAAATTATTTAAAAATTGAAATTAATATTCACTTATTACTTATATAGTCGTCTGCTTGGATGCAATCTTTGTGAATTTCCAAATGGAGAAATAAAGGCATCACACATTGATTTATTAATTTGATCATAAAAGTAAAAAAAACTGTGATATTATCAAATAACTTACAAATTGACCTAAAAGTGTGTACTTATTAACAAGGCTTATATTTTCTCTCTACAAATTACATATTAACGGAATATTGATTAAAGTTAATCACTTCTGCGTGCGTGTATCTGCTTTTTTTTTTTTTTTTTTTTTTTAATTTGAGAAGTCTTGACACACGCACAGATATTTGCCGATAAACATTAACAAACGTTGTTAAAAGAAAGCAAATCTGAAAATTTAAAATAAATCAATCTTCTTAGAGGAAAATCTATTAGTTTTTTTTTTTTTGTTTTTTTTTTAACCAAAACAAACTGTACCGACGATCATTTTATTTTGTTTTTTGAACACCCCTTTTAATGTCATTCTTCATTTAACGTGCATTCATAATTTCCTTTTCTAATTTTAGTTAAAATGACAAAAATAATTCATTAATATTTAAAACTAAAATTTTATGAGCATTTTTTTTTATTTATCTTTTCTTTTACGTATCACATGTTTAGTTTACTCAACAAACGTGTGATAGTTTTTCTTTTTATGTAATGTATTTTATTTTAAGATTTTTTTTTTCTTTTTCAATAAACTAGAATAATAATTACAATCCAGGAAATTGCCAAATTTAGGTTGGTATGGTTCAGCTGTGATATAGGTACCTCCACTAATTCGCTGAAAATAGAGCATACCATGATGGAAAAGATTAGGTAATGATTGGTATAGGAAATTTTAGCGTCTTTTTGCGGCAAATAAACAAAAAAAATCATTGATTTGGAAATTTTAGTGAAAATCGAATAATTGTGGCATTTTAATTAAACTTTCAGGACTCACAAATGAATGAAATCATTTTTTTAGAAAATCGTGGTAAAATCTTTTCTTTTTTACATCTGTTGCCCCCCCCCACACCTAATTTTATGAAATTTCGAGAAATTTTAATTAGAAAAACTATTAATTGCTTTTATAATATAAATAAGATATAAGGACACTATTGTCTATAAGAAAAAAATTTTTTTCGATGAATAATGATTTTTAACAAGAATTGTCTTCATTTTTTTTTTTTTTATTAGAATTATTTATTAAGTTTTAAATCTTTTTAAAATTCTGTATTAATTTCACCCTTTTAGATGATATTATCATTAAGTAAAAACTGTATTTATTAATCATGAATGGAAAAGCTTAGTACAATTCATCACATACCAATATTTTTTAAAGAATTTTTTGTATGTGTATAAACGTGCCAATTTTTGTAGATCCAAATACATGACATTATCATAAAATAAGAGCAATAACTATAGTAAATTTAAAGACAAAGTATCTAAAATTCAATAAAAGTATATTTTATTTTTGGAAGAACTTTTAATAAAGAGAATTACATTGTGATAAATGAGTGGGGTCAATATGACGCTGAAATCAGTTTTTAGCAAAAAAAAAAAAAAAAAATAGTAATTTGTCTTTGAATAACTTTTTAAACCCATAACAGAGAATTATTGATGAATTGACCAAGCTTTTTTATTTTATGTTTTGGTTCAAATTTCCATTGAAATCCATTCCAGCAATTATATATTGTTTACTATAGGGAACTTAATGTCTTAGTTTTTATAAAAAAAATACAATGCACAATACAATATAAATAATGAAATTAATAAAAAAATTTTGTTTGCTTTTAAACAATACTAACCTGATTTCTCATTCCTCCTCCCTTCAAAAGTATTAATGCTTGTGTGGATTGTTACATTTCAAATAAGTATCAAATAGTTAGTTTTTGTATCACACTCAAAAGTACTTGTCAATATCAGGAATTAAACAGTTTGATAATCTTTTTGAAAAATTTTATTAAAGTCATCAACATCCTTTGAACTAAGATTTAATTTTATTTCTGAAACCATTTCTTGGAGTATAGTCTCGTTAAATAAAAAGAATTGACTGTCTGCAGCATCAATGAATGCTTTACTGTTTGTCATTGTAGGCTAATGAATTTTAAAAATAAATGTTCATATCTTTTAGCTTTGATAATCTTTTAGCTTTGATAATCTTTTATTATCTTCAAACAAATTTGATTTTTATAATTGAAAAGTTATTAAAATTATTGCATAAGAACATGCATTTATTGCTTTATTTAAAACAAAGTTGTACACATTTACTTATAAAAGATATCTTTTGTTTGAATGTTAAAATGGTCATAAGTTTGTTACATATATATTTTTATTTCCTCTATTAATGGTAGAAATATAGCAGCATTTTAGCAATATAAGTACAATCTATTATACTTAATCTTTTTTTGTTGACTGGACCATTTTGAAAAGGTCTTCTCTTTTTTTTTCTCAATTCAACTCCGTATTCCTAAATGGATATTTTGCTCTCAAGGATTATATTTATTTTACATGTATTTTATGCTTTAAAGAAATGCTTAAAACATTGTCTTAAATGGAATTTTACCTTTCCTTTGTCAATTCTTAGGAGGAATTGAATCAATTATATATGAAAAATTAAGGGTTAACCTTAAAGAATAAATTTGTAGCTCTACATTTGACTGACAAAATATCTGACCTATATTGTATACTTATTTGTAAACCAATATTGTAAAATCTAAAATGCATAGCAAAATAAAAACAATCATCAGTGATTTAAAATAGAAGCTAAATGTTTATATCTTATCACCTATAAATTGCAGTAAAAAATGATTTAAGTTACCCAGGCTCAAATGTATGTGGTGACAGCATTTTTCAGTATAAAAGAATTGATTTTTATCTGCCTTGGCTCTGTTAGAATGATAGTTTGAGCAGAAAGTTCAATTAAAAAAAAATTCTATACATAGATAATGACAAGTGATACTTTTTTAATTCATGGTTAATATAAAGTCAGTCTTCAGCTTATTCATTGTTTCATTGCATTCATTTGATATTTAAAAAATGTAAGTATTCCTTCTATGAAATCAAGAATAAACAGTTAACTCTTTTATTATTGAAAAAAAAATGGACATTGACTAATCCTTTTTGCACTTCATATATATAAAAAAAAAATGTAAAAATACTAAAATGGAAAGAAAAATTTTGTATAAGTTTTAAATAAAAAAGAAATCAATCTGTTCTCATATATTACCCTTTTTTGTTGAATTTGGTAGCTTACTTATTTTTAACATTTAAGTTATGGCTTGTCTTTTACTCAAATATTTAAGCTTTAATTATTTCGTGTTTGTTTGAATTTATTTAATTTTTTTGTAGGTAGGGGTGTATTTAGAAAAATTCCATGTCCTTTCAGGACCTAAACAATCATGATTTCAGATTGCTTTTCATTATTATCTGTGACTTACCATGGAGACTA